TAAAACGGGGTCCCTTACTGGCGCTGTTCGCACCCCCTTTACAGAAATGGCATCCTTATGTACGGCACTTTTGGTATCCAGGAAACTTTCGATGGTTTCCTTTTTCTAGAAAAAAACGGTCCTTGTTAATCTGGGGAAAGAGACAGTTGCGGTTTAGTCCCGCCCTTCAATGACCAGACATCCACTGCTGATTCTGGCAGTGAGGGGTGGCGGCTTCTCCGCCCTGCCTTCCAAATTCCAAGTCACCTGCTACACAGTATATCGACTCAAATCTTATCCTCGAGATTCTTCCGATGGAACTCTTCGGGTTCCTCTATAAGCTGCATCTTCGTCGGTGAGGCGGTACCGCCACGCCTGAGTGACCCAGTCGATGAGAGGATTGTTTTCTCTCAACCACGGGAGACCTAGGATGACGTCCTCATCTATGATGTTGACAGCGTGGAGGAGCAGACTGCTCCCCTTGGAGGTTCCTTCAGAGTCAGTGGCCTCACACTTTGTTTGAATGATGCCGAATCGGTGGCATTTTGTTCCATCTGTAAACTTTGCGTGGCCCGGCGGACCTATCTTTTTCCAACCCTTCATGAGTGAAAAGGAATAAGATATGAAGTTAGCGTCCGCCCCGGAGTCGACTAGGCACCTCACTGGCACCTCCCCTGATGGGGTATTCATCTTCAAGGTTACATGGACTCGGAGTCGTGAGGATTGTCAATCCTCCTTGGGTTTTTCCTTTTTATCTTCAGTGGATACATTTGCCAGAAGGGGAGTCGTCTTCGAGGAGGTATCTCCTCGGTTCCTTCCCTTCTTCGACTTACGGCAATCACTGGCAAAATGGCCTGAGATTCCGCAGTTAAAACAAAGGTTGTTATCCAGTCTATTTTGGCGTTCCTTTGCAGTAAGTGAAGAACTGGAACGCTTTGAGTTCTTCTTTGCATCATCCGCACCGGAGCCGTCATGGCGCCGTTTTGATCCTGTTGTCGGTTGCTTTGAGGGAGTCTTGTTCCCCTTCTTCTCATTGTGTTGATTATTCAAATAGATTCGAGAAGCCAGGTTGACAAGCTCGGTGCGATTGGTGGGCGGACTTTGATATTGCGATATCGTCGTCCGCACCTTATGAGTCAGCTTCGCGAGGTAAAGCTGCGTTTTCAATAGATTCAAATCGTCAGACAGTTCCTCCCAATATTCTTCGAATCTTGCATTGAAATCGGAAGGATTCTCGTCGTCTCGTTGACGTAGTGAGTTGAACCGCTGCGCCGCTGTGAAGGCGCGGTTACGGTGGTCTTCAATCTGGTCCAGAAGGAAGTTCTTGAATTCTTCCCATGTCATGGCAGCATTGCTACGCTCAAGCTCCCTTTCCTTGGTCGCCCATGTAGTTGCAGTGGTGCCTTCGAGGAGGCTCGCGGCGTATATGACTCGTACCTCATGAGTATTAAACTGGCTCAGGTTAAGGCGGAATTTCCGTTCAAGGGCTCTCGTGAAGCTGTGGAATTCAGACAGCGTCTTGCCCTTGTAATTCGGCGGATCTCCAACCTTGATCCCTTTATCTCCATGGTAGACATAGGAGTGTAGGGGCCGCGGCGGTGGCAGGGCGGCTGGAGGGCCCATGCCAAGGTGAGCGGCGGGTTCAGGAATCTCAGATTCCTGCCGGGGTAGAGGTGTACGCGCTCTAGGGGACGACGTGGAGGCTCCCCCAGAGGGTGCAGTCCCAGCACGGGTGCGTGGGGCCATATCGATCAATAGAGCTCGACTGATTCAAACGTGTAACCAGGTCGAGCGATTCGAATTGTAATGTGACGGCGCCGAGGCGATTGCTACTCGGCAGCGGCACAGAGGAGGATGGTATATAATGGGAAGCCTTATGGGTGGGCTTGATTATCTCGCTTGAACCGCGAACTCGTAGAATACTATACAAATACTGAACTACCAGAGGTACTCGGCACACTATGAATATTGTATGAGGACAGTGGTAACTCTGGTATCTTATTGTCAAAAGATAAAAGACGAATCGCTGGCTCCTGGAATAGAGAGCCAGCATCTAGCTATTCTATATAGACAACGGGCAGCCATCCTCTCCTCACTCTATAAGCGAGGGTAGCCGAAGCAACTCCGCAGTGGCGCTGCATTGATCTGCCAGAAGGAATCCATTGACCCCGTATAGAAACAGGATTCTCATATCTCATCAATCGGATCCTCTTCTATTGCATCCGAATGATGTCATAGGGTGGTTGGAAACCGGTTCGGATACCTGCGTGACGTTATGGGATAGAT